GGATCGATGCAACCCTTTTTTTCTCCTGTATTTTCTTGCATTTTTAGCAATAAGCACTACTGACTACGAGAGACTTTCAAGAAACTGACATGACATTTCATTACCTGTAAAACAAGGTGCTGGTTGTTTGGATTTTTTGACAAATGTCAAATTCAATAATTTTATGTAGGAAAGATGCTTCCAATTTATTATTCATTTAAAAATACAATTTTTTACTGGTTATTGCTTTTTGTTGCCGTTTGTAGAAAAAATATTGTATGATATTTGTGTTTTTTTTTTTTTTTACGGATATGCGCACTCGCAAGGAAATGTCCTATCACGCTCGAGAAGCGGCAAGTGCGCGGAAATGTCGGTGTATGTTGGTCTTGAAACGGTTCAGGTTGTAACCTGCAGGGAAAACCGTCGCAGGGAGTTTATTCCACAGCGATGCTGTTCTCCAGAGATATGAATTCTGATATAATGAGGTTCTTGGTGCCTCTAGTTTGACAGTAAATTCATGGTTACCGTCTGTTTGACGGGTTCGCCTGGTAGGCGCTACTCTCGGTGGAATCATACGTGCCAACTCTTCAGAGCATTTTCCGTGATAGTACCTGTAGAAGAGAGATAAATCGCCCACAGATCTGCGATGTTCGAGACCATCCAAGTTACGAGTAAGTGCAGGGTCATTGATCAGCTTGATAGCTCGTTTTTGCACGGTGTTCAAAAGCATTAAGGTATGTTTGGGTGCTGCACTCCATATATGTGAGCAGTACTCCATAGTTGGTCGAATCTGGGCTTTGTAGAGTGTCAGCAATTGGCTTGGTGTGTACAGATGTCTTGTACGAAATAGCACCCCCAGCTTTTGGGACGCCCTTTTAGCAATATCTGCCACGTGACTGTGCCAAGACATGTTGGTCTCTGCAGTAACCCCCAAGATGTTCAACTGACTCTGTAATGTTACAGCACTTCCAGATAGCATGATGTTTGGCTCACCGGTGCTGGTCTTTTTTGAAAACAGAGCTGCTTGGGTTTTCTGCGCGTTGAACTGTACAAGGTTTTTGTTACCCCAGTCCTCTATTATCTCCAGGTCGTTATTTATCTGCGATATTTGAGTTAGTCTAAGATGATGGAATTCACGTGCGGAAAGACCTGTGGGTGGTATGAGTGAGGAGACTACATTGCCATCGTCTGCAAAGCAATAAAGTGGATTTACTGTTTTATCTATGAGGTCATTTATGTAAATCAGAAAAAGAGTTGGCGAAAGGATTGCTCCCTGTGGCACACCAGCATTTATTTGGTAAGAGTTGGAGTTCTGGCCATCCAGTGCAACATAAATGGATCTGTCCTTTAGGTAACTTTCAAACCAAGTGCAAAGTTTCGGCGATAATCCCATTGCTTTGAGCTTGTTGAGCAGATTTTCATGCCAAACTTTGTCGAATGCTTTAGATATATCTAAGGCAATTGTTCTTGTTTCACCCCGCAACTCAATCGCTTTTTGCCATAAGTGAGTGACGTATGTAAGTAAATCGCCAGTTGACCTATATTTTCGAAATCCGTATTGCTTATCGTTGATAATTTTGTACTTTTCCAAGTACTTGGTTAGGTGATTGTTCACAACTCTTTCCATTACTTTTGATATCACCGGAAGTAGAGCAATTGGTCTATAGTTTAACGGATTTGCCTTTTTTCTTTTCTTTGGAATGGGTTGTACTGCGGCAGACTTCCATGATGATGGATATACTCCTTGCCTGTAAGACAAATTGAATAATTTTGCGAAAGTTGGGGTGAGTTCGTTGGCGCAATTTTTGAGTACTATTTCGGGAATGCCATCCGGACCCATTGCTTTGTTTGTATCTAGCTTTTTAATTTTCAATTTCAATTTCAATTTATTAAATAATCATGTATACAAATTTATAAATTTTTACATTTGTCATTTATCATAGATACTAATTTATCAATTAAACAATTAAATAAAACACAGTGTCACAACAGTAGATCAACATCCCTATCCAGAAATTCCCTATAATGATAAAAAATCTGGCCTAACAAATATTTCTTAACTACAGACTTGAATCGCTGAGCTGTCAACTCTCTTACAGAGACAGGCAACTTATTATAAAAGACAGGAGCAAAATAAAGTGTTGCATTCCTTGATGTTCCTAGTCTGAGAAAATTAATCCTAATATTGTCGCGATGTCTGGTATCATGATGGTGTGTTTCACCCAGAGCCGCGAAATTATGCAAATTACGGTGCATGTACAGTAGGCAGTCATAAATGTATTGTGATGGTACTGTTAGAATCTGAAAATCACGATAAAACTGTTTGGGGTCATCTCGATATTCGACATGAGCCAGAACTCTCACTGCCCTCCGCTGCAAACCAAACACTCTAGAGGCATGAGCCGAATGTCCCCAGGCTAACAGAGCATAGCAAATGACGGAATGGATCAGAGCATGGTAGGCCATTAGAGCGACACTCAAATTGGTGGTCCTACACAGATTTCTAAGTACATATATTCCAGATGTAATTTTCTTGGAGATATGGTTTACATGGCACTCGAAAGTAAGTTTGGGGTCAAGCATGACTCCCAGAAATTTTATCTGAGTAGGATTACTGATCTCTTCATCTCGTCTTAAGGTAAAGGTTATATTCTCGGTTTTGGTTTGATTGAGAGAAAGCCCATTGGCAAGAAACCAGTCACCCACACTCTCGGCACAGTCGCTCGCTTCCTCACACAAAGCGTTGAACTCCCCCTTAGCCACCAAGAAGCTGGTATCATCCGCATACAGTGTCACCTCGCTGTGCTGCAGCGCAGATTTTATATCATTTATGTAGATTATGAAAAGCAAAGGTCCTAGTATGGAACCTTGGGGGACCCCATGTAGCATCACCCTACTCTCTGAGCTCTCACCATTGACACTTGTTATCTGTCGCCTATCTGTGAGATAGTTTTGTATGAGACTGCAAGCACACCCGGCAACACCATAATACTTCAGTTTGGCCACAAGAGTCCCATGCGAGACACAGTCGAAGGCTTTGGAGAGGTCGCAAAAGGTGGCTCCCACAAACTTGCCCTCCTCAAAGCCCCCGACTATGGCTTCGCACAGTTTGTTAACTGCCATCACTGTGGACCTTCCCCTTCGAAAACCAAATTGATCTGCAGACAGGAGATTGTTTGTTTCAAAGTATTCACATAGCTGGTTTTTAAGAAGCAATTCAAAAATTTTTGATATCACAGGAATAAGTGAAATTGGTCTATAGTTATTTACAGAGCAGCGATCTCCAGTCTTAAAAATTGGTACAGTTTTACTTATTTTGAAAGCATGAGGATAGGTGCAGTCATTAATACAGGCATTAAACAACCTTGTAAGAGGAGAGATCAGCACATCCTTCATAGATTTAATAAGGGTAATATTAAGGTCATAAATATCTTTACTATGTTTATTCTTCAACCAGTCTATTGCATTCCTAACGTCAATATATGTCACCTGTCTAAAAGAGAAGATAAGGTTGGGATCCACAGTACCGGCAATATTTAGGTAAGTATCAAACGGAATAGCCGCCCGCGGCAGGGAATTAACTAACCTGTCCGCAATGTCAGCAAAGAAGTCGTTAAACTCATTTGGTTGAATATCCGGGACAATTGATTTAGATTTCTCTCTGCTAGCATTGATAACATCCCAAGATGCTTTTGCAGTGTTATCTGCATTCCTAATGTAATTTGAATTTGCAGACTTCTTTGCCTCCACAATTGCCCCCCTATAGATACGCCTTGATGCCCTCAACTCACTACGCAGCAGTGGACAGTAAGATTCCTGACACATATCATTCAGCACCTGTATTTCATGCCTCATCACCTGAAGCTGTGGGGTAAACCACTGTACCCCATCTGCCGAGGATTTTTCAGAGCGTCGCTGAACTTCAGGGAATGCAACACCTCTCATAGCTAAAAACTTATCAAAAAACTGATTACATTTATCATTTACAGAAATATCACAATTTAAAAACCCCCAGGTTTCCCCTTCAAGCATATTGTAAAAGAGAAATTTTCCTCGATTGGTTATGGGACGGCAAATACTATTTGTTTTTGGTTTGTATGGTTTTTCAATTAAAAAGTTGACATTCCAAAGAAACTCTATAGCAGAGCGATCTGACAATACAGGGTTAAAAACATTTGATTTAAAATTATTCAGGTAGCTAAAATTTAAAAACAGATTATCAGTGATCTAACCTAGTGCTAGTAAAGATTTGCTGCGCAAAATCGTATGACCCGACAACATCCAAGAAACAATTTTTTTCATTATAATCCCTTTCAAAGTGTATGTTAAAATCGCCTGTAATAATGACATATTTTTTTAAACTAAATATATGATTTAAAACAACATTAATGACATCTACAAACACATTAAAATTTCCATTTGGCGGACGATAGACTACAATAATAATTATATCCAGTTTTAGAAATTCCAGAGCACAAATTTCACAATGTCTCTCAACTGAACAACTCATTATGTTCTCGAGTGGCTTTGTTTCCCATGTTTCATCAGCAAGAATAGCAGCTCCCCCATGTTTATTGGATGCTCTGCAAAAATACGCTCCAACTTTGAAACCCTCTATTTTCAAGAGCTTTATTTCATGTTCCAACATGCAATGTTCTGTAAAACAGAGAATGTTGTACCTGTTTTTATTGTCCTTTAGAAAAGCTTCTATTTCCCCAACCTTATTTCGAACTGACCATATGTTTATATAGAAAAGGCAGAAATTTGATTTGGGTTTATCGTTGTTTGAACTCAAGGCATTTGTGTTCTCGCTTTTAGCTGTTTGTACCCAGTTGGTGTCGCTCTCTATAAAAAACTACCCGCATTTTGTAAAAAGTCTTTATGTTTTGCACATATGAACCGTTTTATACCTACTTGGAGAGGCCAAAAATTTTGATCGTACAATTCATCTTTACGGTTCAGGGGCGCAGTCAAAACAAAGCATTTTAGGTTGTTTGCATTGCTGGGAAGCTCCTTGACCGTTATGTTTTCGTGTTCAAAACCTTCTTTCCTTTCACATAATTTATTATCATTTCTTCAGTAGTTTGCCTCTTGATTCGATTGAGATAAAGCCAGGCTTTCCTATCCCCGCCTGCGAAACCATTTTGTTGACTTTCCGGTGAAATTTTTGCGTTTCCCAGACGTTTTTTTCTGTATTGTCTTTTCCTTTGTGTGCGCTGAAATTCAAAGCCGTCATCATTTATGTTTATGTTTACGTTTTCGTCTCGGTTTTGAATGAGGTTAATGTCACCTTCTTCTTTCTGTCGTGGCCGTTGCGATGTTGCTGCTTGAACCGGCAGAGTACCAGCAGCCGCACAGGTTTTACTAGAAACAGCTTTGTGGGCTTGGCCTTGGTTTCTAGGTGAAGCGTCTAACTTCAGACAGGTGGCCGTGGCCCCTGTCATGAGTGAAGGTCGTGGTAGAGGAAATGTTTGTTTATGATTTTCTAGGTTACTTATTTTTCCAATCAATAGACCGTTGTTTTCTTTTAAAATATTATTCTTATCGGCCATCTCATTAAGCATTTTCTTGAGATATTCGATTTCCATACTCATTTTATCCTTTTCAATTGCAAACAACTTACTTTCGGTCTTGTCGTTATCCGCCAAATCTTCCGACGTGCAGCAAACAATTTTTGTTTCGTCGATTACTCTTTTTATTTTTCCCAACCGCTTAACACAACTATTGTGATATATTGCGAAACAGTTTATGCACACGCACACACTACAATTTTTTTTAACACAACATTGAAAACCCGTAGTTTTCCCATCTTTAGTACCGCTCTCAGATTCACAATCCGATTCGCCCGCCATTTAAGGGATTTTCGTATTTCTCTGTGACAAAAGGGTACCTCTGGCATACTATGGGAAACCCTTTCAATGAACGGTGGAGTTTTTCCGTTTGGCACTGTTAGGTTGGAGTTGGAGGAAAACATTTGGGCAAGCATATTGGATTTTTCCTCTGATGTTGTGGCTAAGTGATTATTTTTATCTGTAAGTGGTGGTATGGATGACTTGGTGAAGTTAGATCCAACAGCTTTTGCAAGAGACCAAAAAGACCTAGAACTACTTGGACAATTCAGCAACCTGTTTTTTATTCTTTGATTGTATGTTTCTTTAGTCAATAGTAATTTTGCAACTATTTCTGGCTTCTATAAATTCTGTGTGGTTTTGAGTGGTTTGTTGTCGTTTCCAAAGGTTATATGCTCTATGTTTTTTCTGTACAGCCGTTTGACACTGGCTGTTGAACCAAGGTTTTGCATTAGCTCTATGTTTAGTTGTATGTGGGATATATGCATCCATTCCAGATAAGATTACTTGTGTTATTTCATTACAGCAAATAGTGGGATCAGCTGTTTTAAAGCAAACCTCTTGCCATGGAAAATCCAGGTAAAACTGTTTTAGGTCATTCCATTTTGCCGATTTATAGTGCCACATTTTACGAGGAAGTGGTTGTTGGCTTCGTGGGATGAGCATTTCGCACTTTGTTATTATAAGTTTATGATCGGACGAACCAAGTGGAGCATCTACTTGAATTGTGTACGAGTCAGGATTTGTGGTTAGGAACAAGTCTAAAAGCGCTGCAAATTCGCCCCTTTCTGAGATACGGGTAGGTTCATCGACAAGCTGCGTTAGACCACAACTTATGGCAAAAGCTTCTGCTTCTCTGCCTTCGTTATCTGTTTTGTTGTGGTGTTTCAGCCAGGGTATATTGTGGACGTTGAAATCGCCTAAAAAGACAATTTCCGCCTGTGGATAGTTTGACTGTATACTATCACAGCTTTCGGATAATGTCGCGAAAAAGTTTTGGTACTCGGTGTTAGATGGCGGTCGGTAGAGGCAGCAGATAAACTTGGTCGATGACTTTGAGGTGAATTTTAGCCATATGATATCAAGGTTCGCTGGTTCTAGCTTCTCCTCTCGATGACATGAAAGGTCATTTTTAATGTACACACAGATCCCAAAATTATGTCGAAATCGGTGGTGTAGGTCATAGCCGGGATAAAGATAGTTCACAATAGGTGTTGCAGAACTGATTTTAGTTTCAGTGAGAACAAGGATGTCAGGTCTTTGTTTTTCAAGATGTTGGTGAACTGAATTCATGTTTGTACTTATTCCTCTTATATTGCTAAAATCAATTCTGAGTTGAGTTTTTGATCTTCTCTTTATATCTTTGCATGAAGGACCCCCAGGATCACCCGACGCCCGGAGATCCGAGTGGTCGGGTATTTTACCTCCGGAATATTTTGATCCTGGAGGCGCCATCATGCTATCTGTTACTCATTGTTGGAACATCATAGCATTATTCCACAAAAAGAATCAAAAGAAATCGTTAAAGAATTTCATGATTCTCACCACCACGCACAATTGTTATTTTCACAAAAAGAATACATGAATTATTACGAAGTCATAGAAACTAATGTTTTTGCGATAGAAAATAAAATCGTGTTTTCACTGGATTTCCCTCTTGTGCACTCAAATATTTTCGATTATTACCACCTCTTCTCCGTACCTAATAAGAATCAATCCATCATAATACCACCTTCGACCTACCTCACCCTAAGTACGGACCTTTACCAATATCAAAATGAAGAATGCATTGACCTCAAGCCAAACTATTTCTGCAAACACAATCGACTTCTACCTATACACGAAAATCCTGATTGTATCACGTCACTGCTGACATTAAGCAACAATTTGGACCAATGTCAACAAGTACCAGTACATATCCAAAAAGCCATGATGGAAGAAATCGATTCCGCCCACTATATTGGAATCTTTCCGGAAGAACAAAGAATTCAAACAGACTGTGTAGAAAGCGAAGTAACTTCAATAACAGGAACCCGCCTTTTCACAGTCCCGCCAAAATGCTCAATAAAAATGCCTAAATATGTCTACAAAAATGAAAAGGACATATTTCACGGTCATCCAGTCAACCTCGACGAAATAAAATCAGTTCAAATTCCAGTGTCAAAGACCGAGAAGATCAAATTAGAGAAAATCCCTTTGGACAAGCTACATGAACTTCAACTTCGGAGTTCAACAGAAGATTTTCTAGAATTTACCAAAATTCACCAAAGTACATACATGAATTGGCTTCCATGGATCCTAATAACTGCAATATTGATTTGCGGCATATATTTCGCAATCAAAAACAACAAGATGAAAATTTCAAGAATCCTGAGAAAACCTCCCGCTACTGAGACCATTGACGAAACACGAGTGATTCCACCCTCGAGTTCCTTCTAGGGATGGAGGAGTTATGTGTGCCATTCGTGGGAACATGCTGACCATTGCATCGCCGACCTAAGCAGTTTCTTGAGAACTGTGTAAGCTTGAAACCAGGATACCCCATGCGAATAAACTTTTAACTTTCAGATTAGACATAGACTTTGAGCTGTTCACAAGTACTTTTGCTTTATTATTTTTGAAGTTGTAATTTTTAAATTAAAGTTAATTTTTTAAAAACGGTTTCTTTATTACCGGAAACGTAAAGCTGTGTATAAAAAAATGTAAAGAGGAAGGATGTAGTGCTTGAAAAATAGTTCTCAGAAAACAAAGTTTTGTTCATACAGGGTGTTGCAGAAAGTTTAAAAAACGAAAAAAATATATTTTTTCCAAAGTGGGACACCCTGTATATTATTGAATATTCGCATCATTTATAATCTGATATACACTATACCTAAGTTCATTTGTTTTTCAAATATGGACAGTTGATATTTTTGACTTTATTGCAACTCCGATTTTACATTCTTGTCATGGATTTAAATAAACTATCATTTAACACCAACTTTGAATTTAATCCATGATTGAAAGTTCCAATTTAATTTAATCTCCAGTTATACTCAACGTTGGTGTCAAAGGAAAGCTCGTGAAACGCTAAAGATGAGAATGTAAAATCAGTTTTGCTGTAAAATTAACCGCTTAGGTTTTACAGTCTGCCAAAGTTGCAAAAATGTCAAAAATTTCAACTGACAATATTTCCAAAACAGTTGAACTTAGGTATAGTGTACATCACATGAAATCAGCTCAGAATTTTACGTAGAATCTGAATATTCAATAATTAACAGGGTGTCCCACTTTTAAAAAAATATATTTTTTTGTTTTTTAAACTTTCTGCAAGAACTATATTTTCTGAGAACTATTTTTCAAGCACTTCACCTTTCCTATTTAATTTTTTTTTATACACAGTGGCATAAAAAAAAATAAGGGGGTGGGAAAATATAAAAAAACTACCCTCTACCTATCCCTATTTTTAAGTAACTCAATTGAAAACTGAAAACTGGAACCTCAAATTAACATAAATTTAATGAATATATGACAAAAAAATCCTTACAACACCAATAACTAAATATATCACATGTAACATGAACTACTAAATCAAAAATAATTCTAAACTTTTAGGTACGCTATCACAAAAGTAATCAAAATTTTTTAAATCCTTAGAACCCCGAGAATATTAAATAACTAATATATCACACATAACAGGAACTAGTAAATCGAAAATAATTCAAAGCTTATACCTACACTATCACAAAAATAATCAAAAATGTTCAAGCCCTTAGAACCCCGAATTTGATCTAGTTGATAGAGCAGCAGCCATAGCCTCAAGGGCATCTGCAATTCTATTTTTAGCAGCAATATTTTTTTCCATGAGGACTAACTTTTTCTCATAATATGCTTTTTATCAATGAGTTTCTGCCATTTGAGTATTCATTTTGTCTGTGGCGTTGATTGAGTGAGTTAGTCTCTGTATTTTTCAATTTTTTTTTTGGGGTTTTGTTTTTTCTGCTTGTATTTCCACAGTCGCCCTCACATTTTCCTTGTTAGCACTGTCCGCCTGTTCCCCTTCAAATTTTACGTTTTCACTTTCACAATTACCTCAATTTTGTCGAAGTTGAATTCAGTAATCGGTTCCAAAGCTGGCAAACCTTCAATTTGTACAGGATTCCAGTACATAAATTGGTGAGACACCGCCCCCCGTTCGATTCTCACTTCTTCTATTGGCGGCATCTTTTGCCTTGGTAGCATTTTTCCAGTCGTGCCATCTCTAAAAATAAAATAATTTGAGAATTTACATACATATACTTATTTGCAATGTGTGAATATCAACTCAAAAACAGTAGATATTTGTAGGTGCAAGCTAAATGTGTATGTATGAAGTTGTGTATTGGGTATGTTAAGTTAGGGACTTACTTTTCGCCATTTATCCCATTCCTTATTACATCCGGGCCTGGCGTTCAATAACTTTGCCAAATCCATCCACATTTACTTCGCCTTCTTGAATGTGAATTCATTTGTGAACTTGCCAGTATTTAATTGGGGATGTTCACTCATGAATTGCACCAAGTTTTTTTTTGTTCCTTTGTCATTGTTTTTTTCGGTGTACGATCCATGTTATAAGAATATAAGCAATCACAAATATCCAATGCAAATATCAAAATAAAAGTGTGATTTTACTTCTGTATTGTAAATTAATTGTTGTGTGTTACTGAATTGTCGTTTGTTGCCTTTTTTTATTCCACCAAATTTTCAATAAATGTCAACAATAAATAAATACAAGAAAATAGTGAGGTTATATTATGTTATCTCTTCTTCCTTTTCTTAATTGAATCGATTTTCGGGCACAAAGAAGAATTGCAATGTTGCCAAGTTATTTATTCGGATTCATTTCGAATAAAAAATCTGTATACGAAATTTTTCCGACGAGCGTTCAAGAATTAGGATTTTCGTTTGTATTCGAATCTTTCGTTCGAGCAACATTCGTATACGACTGAAATCCGCATGACTTCAAGAATTGGGCCCCTGACCGCTTATGTTTGAAGTAATACATTGCTAAAAATGGAGAAAAATTTTAACGAGCGCTGAAAACCCTATCTACACTGAAAGAACAGTCACAATTTTTTTTAATCGCTTAGTGGCATGACAAAATGAAATTAAACATTAATTAATTTTTTTTTTAATAAGTGGTTTAGATAGGTATACCTCTTTAAAAAATAATATTGCCACTGAGAGGGTAAAGATAGCTAAAAAGTTGAAATTAAACAAAAATAGATATGGATTATTTCACACAATTTATTTTGCATAAAAAAAAATAATTTAAATTACATAAATACAAACGAATGATAGATATGTTTTGGCAATGAACAATAATGAATGATACATTTTGTATTTTTAGAAAAATAAATGAAAGTTCACAAATTGGTATATTTCCCCATGCAAGAAGCTACAAAAATAAGTAAGTATTTAATCGAATAAATTTTTTTCAACCTGATAAACAATTTTAGGACGTAAGATTCAGGGAAATCATCACAAGGATGAAAGTACTCTATATTTTCCATTAAATGATAAAGTTGTTGAGATAATCCTTGTGTTGCGCAGATTTCTTCAAAATTTGATTTAAATAGGTATACATTCTAGATAATAAATATAAATAATAAAATGATCCGTGGGGAATCTGAGATCACCAAAAAGATTTTCCTGGTTAGGATTAAAAGCCTTCAAACGAAGGAATGCATTGCTTATAACTAAGGTATTAGACTTCCTGCTAAAGTTTTCTCAAATTTCACATTTGTAAATACTTGGGCATTTCTTTATTATATAGCCACATACATAAGTGAAGGCGTTTTGAACATTAACACTTTCTTTCCTTTAGTTATTATCCTTCAAAGTAATTCCCCTGTTTTTGTTAACGTCTTCATTATTATCGATCATCTCTCCTATATCGAGTGATTTAATATGGATTAAAAGTTGATCTAAATCATCTCTACAATTCATATCTTTTGAATGAAAATAATAGGTAAAAAAAATAGTTTCTGGAAGCACAATTCCAAAAAAGTTTTCAAGGCAATCTGTGTTGAGTCTTGTTTTAAATATATTCAAAGCCTAACTGGATTTAAAAATTTTCATAGATTGTTATGTTTATAGAAAATTTTAATTTCCTTCAAAATTAACAGAGCATCTTTCAAAAACTTCTTTTTTTTTTTTGTAGGGAACAAACAAAATTATGTTTATTTTGAATGTTTAAATTAACTGGAGTTTTTGCTTACTTATGTATTCTATTTAAATGAGATACAGAACTTTGATATGTCCTCAACTGTGTACAGTGGCGGTCCGTACATGATTTTCTGGGGGGGGGGGGGGGGGGGGTAATGGATGACGGGAAAATCATCAAGTGTCACAACGTATCGCCGATAGCTCTCCGATTTTTTTTTTTTTGGGTGCCACGCCCAAATTTGCACCCGAATGTCGTTTAAAAAACACGCCTCGGGCAAAAATGTATCCCTATACCGTCAAAATAGTTATATATGTTTACCAAAAACAAATACCTAATATTTAAGAACCCGAAAACAACAAACTGGTTGAAATAAGCCGAAAACAAAAAATAATTATTGTTTAGTGAATAATTTGTTCAGATTATTATTATAAACATTTAAAAATGGCAATGCCGCTGTTCTACGTGCATCGTCGCATCGTGCAGCACGCTTTCTTCTTTGAATGCCGATGCTCGCCGAACAGGTGATTTGTGGCCGAATTGTGTAGCATCTCGCATCGTCAAACGTCACATCACCAGACCGAAGTTCGAAGTGGCCAAGGCCGTAGACAGAGCGCCGACGCCGAGCTTTTGTTGACAAACCAGGCGACACGACAAAGGGCGCGCAAAACAACTTCACGCATTTCTTATTCTCCTCTGTGCCTATGTCTGTTCAGCGTTTGTCACTTATCTTTTTTATAGATTCTATAGTGAGAGTTTTCAAATAGGCTTCTGAATTTGATTTTATTTAAAAAAAAATTAAGGTAAGTGAATATAATTCTTTTTTAATTTGAATTTATATAATAAAATAGGTATATAAAATTATAATTGAATTTAATTTTTAATTTTAGAGAATGAGTAAAAGACAAATCCAGACGTTAGATAAATTCGTGATTAAAAAAAAGCGCCTACAAGAATCTGGCGCTTCTCCGCCTTTACAGCTTGTCAATAGTTCCGAACCAGCAGAATCTACACCCACAGTTTGTCAATAGATCCAATGAACCAGCAGAAGAAGATGCTATTCGAATTCAGGAGGACACGATTTTACCCTCGAGGTCGATATCAACAACAACTAGTAGGACGCATGAGGAAATTACCGCTGTTGATTTACCACAAAATAGCAGTGACATCGGCGAGTATGTAAATTATGAACACATTTCGGATAGTACTAAATACTATCTAATAAAAAATGCATTTGTTCCCGGTAAGAGTTTCCAATTTCCATATTCTGTACATAAGAAGAATGATAAAGAAATACGCTGTTTTTTGTCAACGAAACATTTTGACGCACACAAATGGCTAACGTTTTCTAAAAAACTGAATGGGCTTTTTTGTATATTTTGTAGTCTTTTTATGAAACTTGGCGGTGTTAATACAAGTACGCCTTTAAATAAACTAGTACGAGTGCCTCCATCTAAATACTCGAAACTTTTTGGAAAAGATGGAGATTTGATGGCTCATGAATCGAATCGATATCACCAAGAGGCTATGCAACATATGGAAAGTTTCATTACAACGATCGAAAATCCTGAAAAGAATATTATCAATCTTCTGGATTCAAAGAGGACTGGACAAATTAAACAAAATCGAGAGAGGTTACGGCCTATTATTGAGACGATAATATTTTTAGGACGCCAAAATATTCCTCTGAGAGGACATAGAGATTATGGAAAAATTGATTTATCAATTGAAGCATCCAGAAGTAGTGATTCAAATGAAGGCAATTTTAGGGAGCTACTTAAATTCAGGGCCATCAGCTGGGATAACACATTGAAAGATCATTTAAATTCGACAAACTCCAAAGCCACATATACAGGGTGACTGGTAAGTAGACGTATTCCTTGGAGGAGGTGAAAGTAGAGCCCATTTGCTACCGTTTAAACATCATTTACCTCTATACCATTCTCAATAGTTTTTGAGATATTTATTCTTTTTTAATTTCCAAGAAATTCGCTCCTTTGCCCGGTAAATATTTAATATTAAGGAAAATAATAAAAGCAATTTTAAATGTCGCTTTTCAAATTATAAGCTGACACACTTACACAAATATTAGCATTGAAAATTATTGAAATAATAATATTAACTATTAAATTATTTCGGTTTAAACTTAACTTTCCTTGTCAAGTTACAAACTAATGGTTACTTTATGCTTAAAAATTTCGAAAATTTCATAGTACATCAAACGTACAAATTATTAATAAAAGTTCTCGATATAATTGTCTTCAGAATAAGGCACATTATTTCAGAATTAGTCTTTTGTTTTATTATTAAATAAATAAGTTTTATTTGTAAGAGTAACCAATATGAAGAAAAAATTACTCGATTTGTTTTTAATAACAAGTGTTACAATAGAAATGTTATCAAATATTGGTGTTAACATTTACCTAAATAAGGTATGTTCCTTATTATTTCGTTAATTTTAAATATTTACCTCCCAAAAAAGTGAATTTCTTAAATATATAAATGAAAAATATCTCAAAAACCGTTGAGAATGGTATAGAGGTAAATGATGTTTAATCGGTAGCAAATGGGCTCTGCTTTCACCTCCTCAAAGGAATACGTCCACTTACCAGTCACCCTGTATAAGTAAAAATATCCAAAACGAATTAATTGAAATTTGTGGCAACGAAATTGCCACGCTTTTTCGCTGATTAAGAAAAGTTTATAAAAAAAAAAAAATTTAGAAAAAAAATAAATTAAAAAAAAAATTAAAGTCAAAAATAAAAAAAAATAAAATAAAAATAATGAAAATAAAAAAAAATAAAAATAAAAATAAATGAATGAAGAACTTGAGATTGTAAGACTGAAGGTCGAAGTGCGTGCAAATTATGCCCTAGCTCAGAACTTAATAATTCGGAGAGTAGGGGTGGGTTTTAGTTTTGGGCGCCACCGACTCTGAACAGATGAGTCGGACTCTCCAGGATGGTATCTGGCTTCAGGTTCTTACAATTCAAATAATAATTATAAAAAAAAGAAAAATATTAGCAATAACCAGGCTGTGTGCGTAAAACCAAATAAAAGTCAATTCAAATCAAGTGCTACAGTTGTTTATTTATCAAATCCACAATGAAACGATGTGGGCATTGACATAAAAAAAAAAATAATAATAATCAAGTAAATGAATAATTAATAAAATGACCTTGTCATGAAGTGTCAACCAACAAATACAGAAATGCTACACTGGTGAAAGAATTACTATAGTCCTGAACAGTTAAATTTAAATGCAAAAATATGTTATTGAAACTCAACAACCCAAATGAATAATAAAAAAAAGGTATAAATAGAAAAGATGTTAATATAAATTGAAGAGAAAAATAAAAAAAATAAATGAGTGAATAATAAATTGGAGCGGTTATTTTACACTTATGTAACCTGAACTACCAGTAGGTTGACATAAATTCAACAGGCTACGTCTAGTCAAGCCACCTATTTAATAATTCATTCACCACACTGGGGGCAAGCAATGAATTATTCCCTGAAATACCGAGGTGATCACCGTGGTGTACAAATAGGGACAGAATGTAAATAAACAATAATAATCAGGATAACTAAAACTAGTACGATACCGAAATGTTCCAGGTGATGGTTGTTCTTACAATTAACCAGATTAGTACTGGCTACTGGTTGTGGTTAACTTGGTTGAAGACTCGAGTAACAGTCCAATTACTTAGGCTGGTGTCTGTTAGCCTTTTGGTTCAATTTCGGTTACAGTTGAGCGTCTATTGGTATAACCGTGAGGGTAAACTTGATGGTAAAGTACAACCCCTCGCTAAAGAAAACCCTGATGGAAATAGGGTTTGTTTGCCTCGAAAATCTCTGGAAATCTGGATCGAGGATTGGATTTCCTAGAGAGAGTGAGAATTCTCTACTCTTTAGGGCAGCTTTCAACACATGGAGTTGCAAAAATCCGAATTAATCGGCGAAAATTATAACACTACGAAAACGTAAGGCAAAAGGCAACTAAAATGTTATAATTTCAAATGAGAATTTAGGGTCGAAATACCACAAGGGCGAAGACAATCTTCAGAAAGACCCTAATTCTCCAACGTCCAGATGTGAAAGGAAATGTGCCACACATTCAATTAATAGGCTAACCTAAAGGGAGGAATTTAGACTCAGAGATAATCGAGAATAACGACAAACATCAAAAATTTAATCGATAGAACTTTTACTTACCAAAAATTGCACACAACAATATAATCCGAGAAAAATAACAACAGCTGACGAATAATGATATTAACAACAAATAATTATCCCATAAAACAATCAAAACTTAAAGAATACAAAATATAGTAAGTGATCCGTTTGCAAAATTAGAGGGCTCAAAGAAGAATCGACGATACTAAAAACATTACTAGTCGACCGCTGGTTGACAGAAATTTTTGACAATCAAAAGTCAAAGAAACGAAATCAAGGATAATGCACGAAATATCTCAAAGACCATCGAACCAATGATCGACCCGGGGTTCGCTAGAATTTGCTCCGAGATCAATAGCGCTTAATAGCCGAACAGAGTTAGTACGAACGGAGTAGTTCGGTACATCCACTTGAAAACGGGTCATTATGATTTTCGGAACACAACCCACGAAATATTTTTGACACATGAATTATTTTTGTTATGAAACAGATGATCGAATTTAAAATTGGACTCAAAACATTGCTTTGTTTTGATTTTGAAATTGAACCAAATCATGGATTAAAATGAGGAAAAACCATTACAGCAAATAGAATTTGACTATTGAAAATTAGGAAATTTACAGGATCCACAACCGTTGAGATTATTGATGAAATTGATATTGAGAGAAAATGTTGAACAACTTAAGGAAATCTTGAATATAAAATTGAAAGTAGGTAAGAATTATTTGTGCAATTTTGGCCTGTTACAAAATACGAAATACTATTTTTAAACAAGTTCAACTTTTCAAATATTATAGTATCATGTTCGATGAGACCACTGATTTGAGTCATAAATCACAAATGTCGTTGGTACTAAGATATATCGGAAAGGATAATTCGATTCGGGAAGATTTTGTTTCTTTTATAGATTGTTATAGTAACATGGTAAATGAGGAGGAACCAAAACTAACCGGAAAAAAACTAGCCGATACTGTTCTATCATTTTCGAGAGAGCATGATCTAGAACTTAAAAATTGCGTAGGAATTAGTACAGACACATGTTCTGTAATGCTCTCTGAACAAAAAGGAGCGGTGTCTGAGCTTCAGAAATATATGCCACAGGCAATAAAATCTCCCTGTTTCAGTCACTCTCTAAATCTCTCTATTTCCAAATCAAATACAGTACAAGATGTCAGAAACTGTGTTGGAATAATGAAAGAGGTCATAGCATTTTTTAACGCTTCTGCAAAAAGACATTTTGTTTTGGCTAATGGTGGTGAAAATGAACTATCAAAAAAGCTGTGCGAGACTAGATGGACTGAACGTCATGAATCTGTTTTAAAATTTAAAATATGCCTAGAAAATATTGTACAGGCTTTGCAAACAATTTCTGCATGGAGCGATGCCGATACATCTTCCAAAGCACAAAGCCTATGATATCAATCTCACTTTTTTGTCTATCTTATGTGTTGTCTATGACTGTCAATTTGAGCAAAATATTGCAAAAAAAAACATTTAGACAAATATTATGCCAAAACTTTGGTCGATGACATTCTTTTAGTGTTACAGCAAAACAGGCAAAACGCTGATGACGTTTTCCAAGATATTTTTAAGGAAATAAAAGAATGTCATGAAAAACTTGATGTTTCGATTGCTCTACCAAGACGAGTTGGAAGGCAAGTAAATCGGTTCAATTTAAATACCGATAATGCTGAAACCTATTACAGAGTTTGAATCTTTATCCCCGTTCTTGAACATATTATTGAAGACCTTCAATTTAGATTTAGTGACGATAAAATATCCAATATATTTTACCTCAATGCAATAATACCAACTCTTTGGAGAAAAACAAGTGATGACGACTATAAAAAAACTTCAACGGAACTTTCTACTTATTTAGGATCTTTGTGTAGTGAAAATTCACAGCTCCTTTTTGAGAAATTGAAATCTGAACTTCTTTTATGGAAGAAAAAATGGGAGAACGAAGACGAAAATTCGCCAGATAATGCTATAGAGGCATACCGTGTTTGTGATGAGGATATATTTCCATTTATAAAAAAGGCTCTTAGAATTTTATGTGTTTTACCAGTAAGCGTGGACTCATCCGAGCGCAGTTTTTCTTCTTTAAAACGCCCAAAAACTTGGCTTCGTTCTACAATGTCGCAAGAACGGCTAGTAGGCTTAGCTTTACTCCATATTCATCGTGAAATTCCAATCGATATATCTAGAGTCGTGGATGTATTTGCGAGGAATAAAAATAGGCGAAACGATGATTTTCTTGTCTAGTATTTTTTCAAAACCGTATGTTTAGCATTTAGTTTTTCCTATTTTGTAACTGGACCAAAGATTCCAAAGAATACCTATTTCGTTTATTTTTTTTATGACCAAGAATATTTTGCTTATTTTAATTTTCATGATCTAATTATATTCTATGTTATCTAAGTTTGTTAGTAAGTTATTTTTTTTTAAAGTTTATTAAAGTACTTCATTGAAATTTTGTTTTTATTATTAAATGTTTAAAAAAAAAAAATCTTTGTCTGGGGGGTAATTACCCCCTCTACCCCCCCTTTAAACCGCCCTTGACTGTGTATAACATTCATCTTGTTTGCACAGGTGAAAACCACTCACATTTTTATGAAAATACTGTTGGCAATTGTAATATCACTAATATCTGCCTTATTTCTACTAAAATGAAACACGCGTCT